GTAGCTCAAATGCAAGATATTTTTACGGAAACCTACGCCGAGATTTCTGGTCAAAGAGAATCTTGTAGCATCACCTACGAAAGCCAGTTGTACTTAGAAGATTTGGAGTCATTGATGAAAAAGAGTTTAGACAAAGATAGGATACTTGCAAGGACGTCTTTTGGAATTCACAAAGATGATTTGATATTTACCATGAATGGCGAACCATTAAAACATTTTGCATCTCAAGGTCAATTAAAGTCTTTTGTGTTATCCTTGAAACTGACACAATACAAACTATTAGAAGCAAATTCAGGCAAAAAACCTGTATTATTGTTAGACGATATTTTTGATAAATTGGATCCTAGCAGGGTCAAACATTTGTTATCATTACTATTGGATAATAATTTTGGTCAAGTATTCATCACCGATACCAATGAAGATAGAATGGTCAAAGTCTTGAAAGAAATTGATACAGAATACAGTATATTTACCGTAGATTGCGGAACTATTTCGTGATTTTAATGATTGAAAAACAAAAGATAAATCATGGGCAGACACAATGACAAAAGTATAAAAGAAGTTTTGGGCGAATACATCCAAACCAATAAACGTGTGTCAAAAGGCTACCACACTGCCCAAATCGAAGAAATATGGAAAGAACAAATGGGACCTATTATCAGTGGATATACGCAGAAAATATACTTTAATGATGGTATCTTAAGGGTTTATTTGACATCAGCACCATTAAAAAAAGAACTGCTAATGGGTAAAACCAAAATCATCCAAATCATCAACGAAGCTGTAAAAGAAGAACTCATCACCCAAGTCGAAATATATTAGGGTTAAAAATGGGGCGTAGCCCTGCAATCTTTGTAGCAAATAAAATTATTAAATCGAATATAGGGGCGTAGCCCTGTAATCTTTTTTCCCAAGCATTCATAATGGAAAACGACGCCAATACACCTAGAAATGACAAAATTTAAAGTACTTTCTCCAATTGCCACCGACATATAATCAAAACAAAATCTCCAGTTTTACCATAGATTTCATACAATCTCCTCAGTAGTGTCCAGTTTTTAATCAATTTGCACTATCTTTGCACCTTCAAAAGAGATAATAAACATGAGTAAAAAAGGTAGAGTACTCGTAGCTATGAGTGGTGGTATAGATAGTACCGTCGCAGCAATGATGCTCCACGAAGAAGGGTATGAAGTAGTGGGCATCACCATGAAAACTTGGGATTACGCCAGTGCAGGTGGTTCCAAGAAGGAGACAGGATGCTGTTCGCTCGACTCTATAAACGACGCTAGACAAGTGGCCGTCAATATGGGATTTCACCATTTTATAGTAGACATCAGAGAAGAATTTGGTGATTATGTCATAGACAATTTTGTAGAAGAATATATAGCTGGCCGCACACCAAACCCATGTGTACTATGCAACACACACATCAAGTGGAGCGCATTACTCAAACGAGCAGATGCCATGGATTGTGAGTTTATCGCTACAGGACATTACGCCATTATCAAAGAAGAAAATGGTCGTAGATTCATTTCCAAAGGCAAAGATGATAGAAAAGATCAGTCTTATGTTCTTTGGGGACTTACACAGTCATGTCTTGAGCGCAGCAGTTTTCCTTTAGGTGGCTACAGCAAACCAGAGATCAGACAAATGGCAAAAGATTTTGGATATGAAGATCTGAGCAAAAAGCCAGAGAGTTATGAAATATGTTTTGTCCCAGATAATGACTATCGTGGATTTTTGAAGCGTCGTGTACCTGGATTGGAAGATAGAGTCAAAGGTGGTACTTTTGTAAATGCAAAAGGAGATTTCCTTGGCAACCATGAAGGATATCCATTCTACACCGTAGGTCAGCGCAAAGGACTCGGAGGCGGATTTAAGACACCTATGTTTGTAACAGAAATATTGCCAGAGACCAATACAGTCGTCCTTGGTGAAGTGGATGAATTGATTCGCAATGGTATGAGCGTGGGACAAATCAATCTCATGAAATATGCAGCTATACACGACGGAATGGAAGCTGTCACACAAGTCAGGTATAATGATAAAGGTGTTCTTGCTTCTTTACATCCCAAAGGAGATCAGGTAAATGTAAATTTCTTTGCAAATGTGAGAGGCATCGCTCCTGGTCAATCTGCTGTATTCTACGAAGGAGATGATGTCATCGGTGGCGGTATCATTGGACAAAGTATGCTGAAGTATGAAAATGTGTGAAACAGATAATAATTTCTTTATAGTACGCGTTAAGATGCTTAATACTAAATTTTAATAAATTAAATTTTATCGTAATATGAAATCGACATAAAAAATAATCATGGTTTATTTTATGCAAACCACAATGATTGTTTTTTATCAAAGATTCCATCCCGCCGGTGACGCGGGACGAGTTATGACCATTAAAAATCAAATAAAAATACACAGATGAAAAATATTTTCTTCATTCTACTTTCTTTTGTTTCAATATTTATGATGACTTCTTGCGAAAGCGAAACCGAAGTATTAGATGAGGCCACCTTTGGATATGATTTTTTTCCGGTTAGTGTTGGTAAGTCTTGGGTATATGCTTCAGATAGTATCATATTGTCGTCAGGAGGTACAAGGAGAGATACATTTAGATCATTTATTAGAGAAGTAGTAGGAGATACATTTGTGGACGCTACTGGTAACACAGCATTTAAATTGCAGAGATTCTTCAAAAGAAATGAGTCAGACCCTTGGATTTCTACCAATACTTGGACTTGTTCCATAGACAAAAATATGGCAATCAGGACAGAAGAAAATATTAGGCAAGTAAAATTGGTATTTCCGATTAAGAAAGGATTAAGATGGAATGCCAATGTATTTTTGTATGAAGATTTAACTGTAGTAGTTGGTGGCGAACCCATTACTTTATTCCGTGGATTAAATCCAAGAATGGAAGAAATAAATGAACCATTTGATTTTAATGGACAGCAAGTACCTGCTATTATAGTGAACTTGGTCAAAGAAAATACGATCATTAACTTTAGGGATATGACTGAGTATTATGGTAAAGGTATTGGTCTTTTGAAACGTGAAATGATCGTTTATGATTCAGATGGCAGTAGACCTAATGACCCTTGGGAAACCAAAGCACAAAAAGGATTTAAGCATACACTTACTTTGATAGAAGTTAATTAGACAAACACGAAATGGCAAAAAAGTTTGTAAAAATAGGTAGCATTCTCAAACCTGTAGGTACACGTGGAGAAATGAAAACAGATATTCCAGATGAGTTTCTTGAAGATTTTGTAAATGCCGCCCATGTATTTATCCTTATTAATGGTTCTTACGTGCCTTATTTTATAGAGTCTGTAAGAGAAACCAATCAAATTCTCGTTAAGTTTGAAGAAATGGATGATCCTGAAGAAGCAGCTACCATCAGTTTGAAGGATCTTTATATGGAAGAAAAAAATATTACTTCATCCGAATTTGCAAATCAAAAAGATAAGGAACAACTCCTGGATTTTGCCATATACAGCAACAATGAAAATATAGGCACCATCATAGCTGTAGAAATTTTTCCACAGCAGATTATGGCCGTTGTCCAGAAAGATGCCAAACCTTTCTACTTACCATTGATTGATCAATTTATCGTAGAAATCAATGATAAAAACAAAATAATTTACATGGATTTACCAGAAGGCATTCTAGATATTTAATGTCTGGAAATTAGGTTGTCTTTTAAGCCTGATAAGGCTTGAATATGAATTACCATAGGCGAAACCTATGGTAAAAAGACTCAAAAAAACAAGCCTGACAGGCTTGAACCAAATAGACTGTTTAATTTAACAACCTACCATTAATCAAAACTAATCTACGCCCCATAAACAAAATTCTACCTATTTGTCATTAATTTTACTTTTAAGCTTGTTGTATCCCCAAAATGGTAAAATACTCCTAAAACTTATTTAATTTTGCACCAACACCTATTTATTGAGAGCACCAATGAGAATGAAGATGCAAATTCTTTTGCGTTTGTATTTCCGCATATCTATATTTGTATGTATAGGATTATGTGGCGTACAAGGGCAAAATTTATATACCAAGATACACATCGGAGCCATGTATTATCATGGAGATCTGACACCTAGGACAATAGGGCTCAGCACCGGTCCTGCTAGATTTAGTTGGGGAGCTACACTTGGAAGCAATGTCACGGATTGGGCATCCATAAATGCTCGTTTTATGAGTGGTCGATTGACAGGAGATGATCGATTCTCATTAGATGAAACTAGAAAATCTCGCAATCTTAATTTTACAACACCTATTTACGAATTTGGTATTTATACTGATCTTAAAGTAAATAAACTCATTAAAAGATTAGATAGATACAAGGTCAGGCTATACATCACAGCTGGTCTGAATTTCTTTAGATTTAACCCATCTACCACATACCAAGGTAAGTCAGTAGCACTTCAGCCCATAGGAACCGAGGGCCAGACGATGTCAAGTAATGATAAAAAACCATATAGTCTTACGGCTATTTCAAGGCCAATAGGAATAGCAATAGAGTTTGACTTGACAAAAAAAATAAGCATTGGAATTGAAGCAGCACCACGTAAAACATTTACAGATTATATTGATGATGTCAGTGGTACTTACGTAAACTATGATGAAATGATGGCAGCAGGTAATTATCTAGGCGCTCAACTGTCAAATAGAACAGGAGAGTATTTTGGCACGGATAATGCTAGAGTACCTACAGGAACGCTACGTGGCAATCCTAGCCAAAACGATTGGTATACTCATTTTGGTTTTTATATTAAATATTCATTCATAAAAATTTCAAGTTCAGAATCACCCAAAAATAATGACACAATTGATGATGTAATCAAAAATTAGTTTAGTTATGATTAAATATTTGTTCATATGCTTCATGTGTTTGTCCTTCTTTAGTAAAGGGCAGTACATTGATGTTGGCGCAAGTATAGGAGGTACAACTTACCAAGGAGATATAAGTCATTACAGTAGCCGCATTAGTTTTCAAGGTGCTAGATTTCTCAAGAGTGTTCACTTAGGCTATCACTTTTCAGAATCATTTGCATTAAAACTTAAATATACGAAAACTTCAATAAGTGCTTATGACAGAGACTCTAAGGATTCATGGAGAGCGGCTCGAAATTTGCATTTTGTGACAGATATAAAAGATGTTTCGTTATTGGCAGAGATAGAATTATTGGATATGTTTAAAAAACTACGCAAATTCAATCTTAAGCCATTTGTTTATTTTGGTGTTACCTATTTTAATTTTAATCCCAAGGCGTCTTATAATGGAAGATGGTATGACTTGCAGCCATTAAGCACAGAGGGCCAAGGATTGCCAGGACACAAAGCACCATATTCATTACACCAAATAGGTATTCCTTTTGGTTTTGGATTGTCTTATTTTATTAGACCAGATGTGTATGTCTCCTTTGAGATAGGTCCTAGAATTACATTTACAGATTATCTAGATGACGTTTCTGAAGATTATCCAGATTTCGAGTTACTTAGGCAATTCAAAGGTCCTATAGCTGCGGATATTTCTTACCGAACTGACGAATTACCTGGTGGTCCACCTGAGAATGATTTAAAAACTGAAGCAAGGGGAAA